ATATTTGTATATAAAGGCAAACAACTCATTGAAACAGTCAAACCAATTGGTGACACAACTAATCACAACTACATTATAACCACATATTCCTGAGCCATGAGTTGCGCTAAGAATAACGAGACGTGTTGTGACACCAAATCCGAGGCCACCGAAGACCACATCCGGGAAGCGGTTCGTCAGCATTACGCCCGAGTGGTGACCAGTGCTAAGGAGGGGTCGGGTGACTGTTGCGGCGCCGGCTCTTGTTTCACGCCCAACACTACCGATAAATACGCTCAGAAGTTAGGCTACGACCAGAAAGACCTGGATAATCTGCCAGAGCGGGCCAACCTGGGCCTGGGATGCGGTAATCCTATCAAAGCGGCTAAACTGGTGGCTGGAGAGACGGTTCTGGACTTGGGTTCGGGCGCCGGCTTTGACGCCTTTATCGCGTGCCGAGCGGTGGGCCCAACGGGTCTCGTGATTGGTGTGGATATGACCGATGAGATGATCACCAAAGCCAACGCAAACGCACTGAAGTCCGGCTACAAGAATGTGGACTTCCGGTTGGGACAGATCGAGGACCTGCCCGTCGATAATGGATCAGTTGACGTGATTATCTCGAATTGTGTCATAAATCTGGTGCCAAACAAACGTAAGGCTTTCCAAGAGTCGTATCGTGTGCTGAAGTCCGGAGGAAGGCTCGCCATCTCGGATGTGGTCACGAATGTGGAGCTCCCGGAGTCGGTGCGCAAGGATTTGGCACTTTATGCCGGATGTTTGGCCGGCGCTACAGTTGTCAGTGATTTGGAGGAGTTCCTCAAAAGCGCCGGTTTTATTGACATTAAGATTACACCCAAAGACGAGTCCCGGGAATTCATTAAGGATTGGGCGCCCGGTATGAGACTCGAGGAGTTTGTCATATCGGCACACATTGAGGCCAGAAAGCCGTGATTTCATGGCAAACCCTTTTGGACAGACATTTGCTTTTTATTTCGTGTTAATTATTTTTAACCAAGTCATTAACAATTTTTCAAAATAATAATTATTATTTTTATACACCGCTATTAATATTATTTTTCTTTAAACAAATAATTTTAACACTTAATTAATTTGATTTAGATATAATTTAAACATAAATAAAATGTTTTTGATTAAAAAACATTTTATTATTAATTTATTTAATGTTTGAATTAATGTTATATTAAGCGAAATAAAAATTTAATTAAATTCCGACAAAATCTTAAGAATCCTGGAGTTCATGAACTTCCCGGCGTTGATACCAATGAGATAATCGGCGTGATTCCACAGGGTATATGGGATCACATAATCATCGTATATGGGAACTATACCAAACATAGGCATCAGTTTAATAAATGTTATGATTAAAAAAATAATTACCACTCTAGGCACTAAAAATAGATGTGAAACAATTTCATTCAGAGTTTGTTTTAGTAATTTTGCTAACATTTGATCATTTTTTGTGTCAACATTTAATCTCATATTCTATAAGTTTAATAAGTTTTCTACTTTTAATGATATTTTTTTAACTGTGAAATTACTACTGTAAATTAATTACTTCCATTAGATGATAAAGTATTATTATTAAAAACAAATTAATATTTAATTACTAAATCAAACTAATTAAAATATAACATAGTACTATTTGAAAATATAGAATATTAAACTAAGCTGTAAATTTAATAGCAAATGTCAAAAGTAACCTGTTAATTGACTGCGAAGTATATCCACGTCTGTGGGATCGGCTAAATAGTCATTCACACCAGTCATGAGTGCAATATTTCTGGACGTTATTTGAGCTAAATTGTAGCTAGGTGGATT